TATTGGAAACAGAGAGCCACCCAAAAGAGCTGAGATAAAGGAATGTAGAAAACTCTATGAGTTGCTGAGAGAGAAAAACAAAACAGTAGTCCTACAATGGATTTAGCATTTATTGTGATTTTAAAATCCATGTTGAATTTACTTAACTGTTTATAACTGCCTCAGAAACTTCATAAAGTTAATGCATTCCATTTATGTGCCACTATCCTTGTATCAATAGTATTTACTTAACTGGTTAGGTAATGGGTCAATTGGTGTAGAATTTATACGAGGCATTGACGTGGAAGAACATCACTTCTAACAGCTTTCAGATGCAGCTTAGTTTGAATTTACAATTTGCAAATCCTGATCAGTAGGACTTTGAAAGGCTTACAAATTCACATTTTTGAAGATATAAAGGCCCTTACCTATTTTGAACAATCTTGAGGATTTATTTATTTATTTTTTTCAAATGGCAGGCTTTGTGATATTTATCATTATCCCTTAAATCAAATGCCAAGTAATAGACTTTTTTGCCGTACGAAGATTCGTTATCCAGGGCGCACCACGTGGAGGTATGTCTCTCGCGCACCCCACATTCTTAAGGATTAAGCTAAAGGTTTTATATGTGCGCGAAAGATTATTTGAAAGCTTGGTTTTAATGACTCGTGTTAAATGGAATAAGTTATTATGCAAGTTTATGCCTTTGAATTTAAGAAGTTGGAATTCTCTACTACAATTGTCACGCATCTCATGTGATTATTGAAATGAAAATCACATGCAAACAGCCTCAGGCGAAAACTTCCTGAACCTTCGTAATGACAAAACTTTTTTGGATGTTCATACAGCAGCCAATTAATTTAAAGGCTGCACCCCGGAAACTAAAATGTATGAAGGCTATCACAAACAACGATGCCACCAAAAGTTATGCGCCCAAAATCCTGACTTGAAATATAATGTTCTACTTTAGCTTGTCAATATTTGAATATAATTAAGCTCATTTTAATAGTTAAACCTATTTTCAAACACCCAAGCAACAGTTTAAAATTTAGCTTTTTGAATCATAAAGAGAGAGTTTGGTTACATTTTAAATTATTCGATATTGATTTATACTTAAATGTATCAGTAGTAGTAGTGCATTTTATGTATGCTTTTGTAACAACATAAAAAAATAAATAGCACAATAATAAAAGAAAAATTATTATTATCATTTTAAATGTTAGGCTTTGTGATATTTAACATTGGCCCCATAGTTGATTTCAACTTTCCCCATGTGAAAAAAGTTCTTTTATAGTAGTACATTAGTTGCCTTCTCTTCCC